TGAAAACAAGGCTTGCTTGGAATTTTTCCACCCTTCCTCACTTCCTTCCTACAGCTCAACCTTTTAATGAGGATAGGTTCCCAATTGGCACTGAAGGTTTTTAACCGGCTTTAAAAGGGTAGGCAAGTTATGATTGACCAGGATATTACAGCTTTACAAGTCTTCCCATATCTGTGAGGCCCTAAATATATTTTTACCTTCTGTTTCCTAGGCCTTCCATTTTGTCCATTTGCTAACTTTAATTCCTTATTGATTTATTTATGTTGTCTGAGTTCGGTTTTGTTTGGGGTGTGGCTTAAAGCTGATAAGTTCTTCCTTTTGGCACTAGGGGGAGGTATTGTCTAGTTCCTAAAGGGGTTGATCTCTGTATCTAGGCCCTGTTTATAATGACTGGTCAGCCAGAACCTATGTTCTTGTACAACTTTTTGTCCCTGCACAACTTTTACAAGGCACTCGACACCTCTTTGTTACTTGACTCTATTTGTATTTCAAAAGAAATACTCAATATTTACTCAGCACTTAGATTCTAAAGTAATTCTGAGGTATTGTGACTGAGGGAGGCTTCTGAAGCTGTAGTAGGAAACTAAATAGGAGATGAACCTCATTTATTTTCCTGAGGTTGAGAGAGGTAAGGGGGGACTGACCTAGGAGGCTGGAGCCCTGGAGTTTGGTCCTTTTTAGTCACTGATTTATTCTGTGAGTGTTGGGCTGGGTGACCTCTGATTCTAAAGTAGACTCTGTAATGGGATTTTGCTTCCTCTGCCTATTTTATAGCTGCATTTAGCTGGATACATGCCTGGTCTTTTCTATGTTTGGATCAGATATCATATACTTCTATGACTGAGTTGTGAGACCTTACCTTTATCTGAAATTCTACCAGTGGACATCTATTGCTTTCATTATTTCCTTTGTTAAAATACAGTTATCTGGTAAGGATAACTAATTGAGCTTTTATCATTCATACCATTTTGGGTTTTCTTTCTAACATCACAGCTCTGAGGGAGTAGAATGTGAAAAAGTACATTTTGATAGGGCAAGGTGAACGAATCAGCCTAGAGCACTGGGTGTCCCCCAAGAAAGATGGGTGGGGTGAGGCAGGATGCTGTAGTAGAGTTCTTGAGGCAACCAGAAATGCCTAAACAGGAGATGCCAACAGGAAAGATAATTGCCTAGGAACTGGCAGAAGTTCATCAAAGCTTTGCCTCCTTTAAAATGGAATGTGTGAAATGCAGAAAGGGTCAGGAGCTGATTGAATGGATGTGGGAAATCGGGTAGAAAGGAAGAGTGTGCTGTCACAGTATAGGGAGAGCAGTTAGGGTCACATAACAATGTATTATGAATTTTTGTATGAGAGACTAACTTAAATTGTAAACTTTCACTTAAAGTACAACAATAAAAAAACGGAATGTGTGGCTAATTGCCTCCATGAATAACTGCCTCCCTTGCCATGAGACTAGAAAAACTGGATGGTGCCTGGCTACCATTACTGAACATTTTCATCAAAGATTATATGGAAGAATCCTGATCAAAGGGGATGGGGTGTGGAACAGAATTTCAAATTCTCATGGAATCCAGACTTTCTGGAGTCATTGAGGCTGGATGAACCACCAAAAGTATTGCCCTCAGATAATCTTTAAACCTTAAACCAAAAATATCCCATAAAGTCTTCTTAAAACCAAACATTGGTTTAGCTTAATCAGTAAAGAATGTCTGCCTTGAGCATTGTACTCTTTTAAAGAACTATCTATATCATCTGGAGCCATGGAGGCTGGATGAACCCCTAAAACTATTGCCCTGAGATAATCTTTAAATTTTAAACCAAAAATATCCCCTGAAGTCTTCTTAAAACCAAACAATAGTTTAGCTTAACTAGTAAAAAGTCTGCCTTGAGCATTACACTCTTTTAAGAACTATCTATATAGAATCAAAGTGACAATAGTAACTCGAAAGATGAAATAGGAACCTTAGGGAACAGTGAGTTTATACTAATGGGGGAGGAACAACTCAGAAAAGGAGTATGAGAATGGTGCACAACTCGAAGAATGTAATTAACGTCCTGAATTGTACATGAAGAAATTGTTGAATTGGTATATGTTTTGCTGTATATATCTCAACAACAACAAAAAGAACTATTTATACGAGATCAGATTGACAACAGCAACTCAAAAGATTAGATAGGAGACTTAGGAGGCCACGAGTTTATGTTAATGGAGGAGGAATAGCTCAGAAAAGGAGGGTGAGAATGGCTGCACAACTTGAATGTAATTAATGTCACTGAATTGTATATATAGAAATTGTTGAGTTAGTATATGCTTTGCTGTGTATATTTTCAATAACAACAAAAATGAATAAATTATTTAAAAACAAACAAACAACTCTGCCGCCTTTAATGTTACTGAAGGTAATGACCGAGTAACCAGTTGCCATCGACTCTGTGACTCATGGCGACCCTATGTGTGTCAGAGTACAGCTGTGCCCCATCAGGCTTCCAATGGCTAATTTTTTGGGATTACATTGCCAGCCCTTTCAAACTTCTAGCCTTTTGGTCAGCAGCCGGGCATGTTAATCATTTGCACCATCCAGGAACTTCAGTTACTAAGCAATAGACTCTTAATAGCTTAGGAAAGAAATAATTTATTTCCTGGAATTTACAGATTTCTAGGAAAATATATATATATGTTTTATTGTACTTTAGATGAAGATTTACAGAACAAACTAGTTTCTCATTCAACGGTTAGTACACATATTGTTTTATGACATTGGTTAACAACCCCACGACATGTCGACACTGTCCCTTCTTGACCTTGGGTTCCTTATCACCAGCTTTCCTGTCCCCTCCTGCCTTGTAGTCCTTGTCCCTGGGCTGTTGTGCCCCTTTAGTCTCATTTTGTTTTAGTGTGGGCCTATCAAATCTTTGGCTAAAGGGTAAACCTCGGGAGTGACTTCATTACTAAGTCAAAAGGGTGTCCAGGGGCCATACTCTTGGGGTTACTCCAATCTCTGTGAGACCAGTAAGTCTGGTCTTTTTTTGTGAGTTAGAATTTTGTTCTACATTTCCCTCCAGCTCTGTCCGGGACCCTCTGTTGTGATCCCCGTCAGAGCAGTCAGTGGTGGTAGCTGGGCACCATCTAGTTGTACTGGACTCAGTCTGGTGGAGGCCATGGTAGTTGTGGTCCATTAGTCCTTTGGACTAATCTTTCCCTTGTATCTTTAGTTTCCTTCATTCTCCCTTGCTCCTGAAGG